TTCATTATCCTGAAATCGTTTCTGTTTTACCTTAGAAAAAAAAATTATAGCTTTATGACAGATAAAAATTGATTTAAAAATTGAGAACTAGAAGAAGAAACTTTTGTGAATCGACTATATAATTATTAATTAATTAATTAATTATAAAAAGCTATATAAATTAAAAACATAATTTTATATTGCTTAAAATGCTTGATAATTTTGTTTCGAGAATAAGAAAAAAGTGAAAGCATTTTATTGTAAATGTCTTCTACACGTTATATTTAAAAATTAGGGAAAAAATTATTAAGAAAATTGATTGAAGAAAATTTATTTTTTATTTCACATGCATGTATATATATGTACATAAAAATACTTCAATAATAACTTATTATCGCTGACCGTAGTATATACTAAAATGAAAAAACATTACGCGCGCAACTAATAAAACATTAATAAATGTATAATATTTCTCTGCATTTTTGATCCATAATTATGGATTTAGCACGGACATGTACCAACTTGGCCGTTTTACCGTGGCACCAAAAAGTGAACCTGGCCATGTAATTCCGCCGGCTCTAAAATGGATCCAGTTCGCGCTACTGCATTAGCTAGAAAAAGCGTCTTTCGGAAAACAGCGGCACGGCCCCTCTCAGGCTTCTCTCTGGTAATACAATCAAATCAAAATTTTTTATTTGAAAAATTAATTTTATTTTACCATTTATTATTACTTTAATAGTAATATTATATTAATTTTAATTAATTAATATTTTACCCTATTACAAATTATTTCTCGCTCGCACAGAGTATAGCGCTCTCTTTCGTCATGCTACGTGCGAGCGAGAGAGAACGCAAGGGGCACGAAACAGAGTATGTCCTTTTCTACGTGCATTTCGGCTCCCACTCCTCAACACTCGGTCTAGATATACTATGTCTATGGTTGCCGCACACGTGCAGCAGCATGCAGAAGCCAATAAAGCGGAGAAAAAACTTTTTCGTGTTTTATATAACATTTCTTCAAAGATAATCAGAGTTACAGTGTACATATGATATTGAGACAAGTTAAATAAATTAATATTACTTTAATAAAAATGAATTGTAATGAAACTATGTCTAAAAATACATAAAATCATATATAAAATCTTGTAATCACATATCTGCCATCGCACATATTAACCTAAATAATAAAAGATTAAAGAAATAAGTATAGTAAACAATATCAAAAAAAAAAAAAAACAATGGACATAAATAAATGTGAAAATGAAAGAATGAATAATCCCTGTAATAATGTGCCAAACCAATTAAAATCAGATGGGATCACATCTATGAAGATGGAAAATATACAAAATAGTCCTAACAAGGCAGATGACCTTCAACATTCTTATACAAATTGTAAAGATGAAAATATAAATAGTCCTCGAAATAGTGAGAACGCATTTACTTTTTTAGAAGACATATTTGAGAATTCAATGTTTAAAGAAGAGAAAAAGTTCTTACAATCTGCCAATACAACTGAAATGAATGTATGTACACAAAGAAAAAAAACAATTAGCATTAGTAGTGATTATGATATGTTTAAACAAGAATTAAACAGTACAGAAAATTTTAACGAATTTGAAGACGTTAAATTATTACATGATTTAAATTCTGTAATAGATTTTGAAGACACTAAAATATCACCAGATATTTCGTCTTTAATGGTTATTAATATTACACAGGAGACTGATGATAGCTTAGTAAGTATAAATAAAGATCCAGCCACAGATCCCCTTTTAATTAGCGATTGCGAAGAACGAAACACAAATGCAACACTTATGGATTCAGAATCAAAATCTTCAATAGAATCAGAAAAGTCAATATTTGTTGATAACCAACAAATTAGTAATAGTAATAATCCTTTTAAACTAAAACATAAGTTGAATAAAAAAGAAGAACATCTTTTAGAAGAATTGGAAAATATAAAAGATTGGGAAGAATTGCCACTTTCTCTTACAAAGGTTAATTGATATATTTTGAGTACTATATATGATTTATTTATTTTATTGTGTTAATTAAAATTTTAATTATTTTGTATATACAGAAATTGCGTGCATTATATATAAAACTAATACATAAAGTGCCTCCACAACATAAAATAGAGCTTACCGGATCTCATGCACCAACAAGGCCACAGAAAAAATTATTTGGGAAATATGGACCACTCCGAAAAGGATTATATTCACCTAAGGAAGATACAATTATCAAAAAAAACTGGGAAACTTTTTGCCAAGTATATAGTTATTTGCTATAAATGTACATACATAGCATGTAATATAATTTAATGTATTAATATGTTATAACATCTGATATATATTACATATATATATAGCTTCATGATTGGGACACGAACATGGTTAAACCATTTTTTAATTGGAGGCATAATGGAAAATACTATATAAGCAATCTAAGAGAAAGACAGAAATTTGTACAATTTTTAGCAAATGGATTACCTTGGCGGACTTTATACAGTGTTTATTCCAGATTCAAAGTATTATATTGTAAAAAGATCACTTATGCTCGGTACAATACAAATTTTAAATTGAACTTGGATTCTTATATACATTTTAATACATATATAATAATTTTTCTGTTTCAGGTATACATCAAAAGAAGATAAAAAAATTTTAATGTATATACAGAATAAACATCTTGATAAGCGTGACACTAAATATATTGAATTGGCAATGTTATTAAGACGAACAAGACGATCAATTTTTAAACGATATCAATATCTTAAAAAGATTGAGGATGATTCACAAATAGAACGTAAGTATTTTGTAATATTATATTATCGAATATATTATGTTTATAATTTTCTCTTTCTTTCTAGATATTAAAACAGGTTCACATTTGTATATTACCAAATTTGTTTAATTTAATTGCAGCATTATCAAACATTAAATGGACATTGCCATTGATCAAAAAATTTATAAAAACTTTACTTAATATAACATTAAGTGAGGATATAAAAGAATTAAAAAATGCTATAATTCCAAAGCCGGTGTGGCAGAAAATGAAAGAGAAATTAAATATACATGAAAACATTTTAAAAACATTTTGGCAAAATCAATTGCATTTGCAATTATTTAGTCCAGGTCCTATCTATTTAAGTGATATTAAGATAAAGTTAATTGAGTAGTAAGTATTACATTAAATTTATTGCATATCTATTATAAGAAATATACAAATTGATTTCAATATATAACAAACATTATTGGATCGCTACATATAAATGTGTACAATTCACTATTGCAGTATGTATGAAAAAGGAATAGCAAATACTCGTGAAATTATATGGTCTAATGTTGCACAATATTTTGATGGAGCAACTGCAGTATTTCTTTGTAAAGTCTTTTTTTATCAAGTTCAAGAATGTAATATGAATAATATGGAAAATTTTGCTGGTAATATAAAATAATATTTAAAGCATATTTCTAAAAATTACAAATGGAATCGTATTATATGAAAAAATTGCATTTGCAGATGTTGTAGAATATCTATATCATACTAAAATTCCCGAAATTAAAGAGGCCTTAACGGAGAAGTTCTTACCTAGAATTGTTTATAAAAATAAAAAGGTTTATTTACTAAATGAAGAAGACAGTGACAATGCAATCACAACTGATATTTAAAATTAAGAAGTTGATTGTAATACTAATAAATATTCTACAGTGTATTATCTTAATACTCCTAAATATTATATAAAAAATACAAAACTATTATTTTACTCTAAATGTATTTTAAATTGCATGCGTGTGTATATGTGTGTATATGGGGAAAATAAAAATGGAAAGATAAACATTATGCAAATAACTGTTTATTAAAAAAAAAGATTGATACAGTGTGAATTATTTTCTTCTGCAATAATCACTTAAGATTAAATTTTTTTTTCTTTAGATAAATTCACACCTTATTTTTCTTCGATTCCTTTTCGAGTGCTTTGTCCTTTGCCTTTTGATACAAAGGTACAAGCTTGCCTTCTTTAGCAAGAATCTTCAAAAGTTCCATAATAAGTGGTAAATAATTATGTTTCCTTCTAATATTCTCTATTTGGTATCTTTTCGACTTTCTTATTTCTTCCTCAATTAGTGTTTGTAAACGTTCTAGCTCTGCAGGATCGCAGACATTAGCTTTTTGTCTTTCATATAAAGTTTTTCTATCTGTTACTATAGCCATCAAATTGAAATGGATTTCGCCTTCATTATATCTGTATTTATAATAACATTTGTAATTTTATTTATAGAGTTAATGAAGTAGCTATATATTATAACTTACTTGTTTATTCGTTTTTGAATTATAGGCTTTGCAGCTTGTACCCATTGTTCTCCCATTGGACATGGGCATAAATCAATCGGACCATCTTTTAATCCATCCAATTCATACAAACGACCATCAAGCGGAACGTAACTCACAAAATGAAATACATCATCATCTTTAGATGCCTGCTTTGAGTCATATTCAAATAAAGTCTGTCTAAAATTTGGATTTACAATACAGAACCATTCATGGTATTGATAACTGTTGAACAGCTAGCTAAATAATACATACCTGGAAAAGGAATTATGCACTTCTCTTATAACATCAGAATTGCTAAGGGCAAGTCCACGCATGTTTGCATCAAAGCTTTGACAGAAATTTTTAAATTCCTCTAAATTTGGTCCTAAAGATATGTCTGGGTGTTTACAATTTAATAAAACACTCAATATTGCTTGTGTTGCACAGGCATTGTTTATTACCTAAACATATATCATTATTTTATAAGTAAAATCTATAAAAATCTGATTTCTATATGAGCACACAAATAATTCACATAAATCAATATAATTATCTCGTAATATAAATTCAATTAAATAATCATAAAATTATGATCACATACACGTACCTGTTTTGCAAAAAATATTTTGTCCAATCTATTATCGCGCACAATATTTCCTGATAATTCATCATCTTGTACCCATTTGAATAAAAATATTAAACCATGAATAGGCCTGTCAAAAATTATTTATAACATTTAATATTGTATATATATAAAAGTATGGTATAAATATAATTAAAATAGTATAATATAAAGGAATAAGTACATATATAAGAGAAATAGTGCTGTATATAAAAGTAAACCATATAAAATTAATGTGTTGTGTGTGTTAATCTCTTAAATTATTAATATATATATAAATATATATAAAATTATTAACATGCTGCTATTTTATTATCTATTATACATGTTTCATATTTTGTGCATTTAAAACAAATAATACAATCTTGCTATAACGAAAAGCAAGAGAATGAAAGTACATACGAACAAATATAATTACAAAGATTACAAAAAAAAAGTATAGTTTTTTACAGGAAGTATAGTTACAAAAATATATAGTCATATTAAAGATATCTAATCTTTCATACATAAACTGTTTTTTAAGTTAAATAAAAAAAATTGTACTTATATTATGCAAAATAAATTTACTTCAAATCATCAAATTGCTCATCATCCAAACTCCATAATTCTTCCACTTGTGCTCCTTTGACACCTGAAAAGATTATATATATATATATGTATATGTATGTATGTGTGTATATATATATATATACACACATTCACACACATACTTATGCTAATGTGAATCGATTTTGCAACCTATATTCATGAAATAAAAAGAAATTCCGAAACTTATTGAAAAAAAGTATTGCAATTTGCTATTCCCGAGTGTATAACCTTAACAAGCACAGTTCATATAATCACGTTATAAAAATAATGCATAGAGATTCTACTATAAATTAGATCAATTTTATTACATCAATATAATCTGAAATAATTGGAAATGTACTTACCAAATTCTTTAATCAATTCCGTAAAAACACCAGGATCACTCTCGATGAGACACCAATTTCCTGCAGAGTCCGCCATATTTTATAAACTATCACGCACATACATTCATACAAAACAAATGTAGAGTATATAAAAAATTTTAATCGATCGCAGCGCCACTCGGTGGTGGAATACCATATGATTTTATAAATTATAGGTAAAAGTTTCGAATCGTTTGATTAATAATTCAAAACAAGGACAAAAATGTCCTGATTGATCAATCAAATGCTTAAAAACTTTCGTAGCTCAAACAGAACGTTCCTCTAATAGACCATCTAATACAAAATCTCATCGATGAAAATTCAAATATAACGAGATACAATCAAGAATTATTAGAAAAAATAAAGAATAAAACTAATAAGTATCTATAATCAGTACTAGAAGAAATAGAATAAGATAAGAGAATAAGAAAATAATAAGATTTATTTTTTATTGGTATTTCTAAAGTTTTTAAATCATGTATAGATCAGTATGGATCATTGATATGGACATGCAACCAAAGGCATCAAAGACAAATTTTCTATTCTAAAAAGTGATAAATCTAACATAGAATGACATAATTTTCATTTAAAAAATTTAGATAAATGTATTCTTCAGATTTCAAAATCTTCCTCAGCAGCTGGCAATATTACAGTCGTTATCCCTAAAGGTTTTGGATTTGATTTCTTGCACAGTAATATTTTAATCTTCCCCGATATTTGACCTCTTAAGTTTGCGCTAACGGTTAAAGGTATGGGTATAGCACTCGGTAGCAAAGGCAAGTTTATCACACAAGGATTCACATCGGTATCCTCGGATCTGCAAAGAATATATAATTCTGTGTAGGATAAACCTTCAGAGATATTTGTCACTAGAATGCGAATCATGTAATTGGGACCCAAACCGAGGACATTTGCCTCTAATGTAATAGGATTCGGTCCTGCTGCTTGATTTTCGCTTAAATTTTCGAATGCTCGTTTAGCGGTTGTTAAGCGTAAACGAAGAAAGCCTTGCTGAAAGGTGTTATGAATTTTTTTCGCCTCGGCCCTCTCCCTTATCGTTTGATCGACGAATAATCGTGTTTTCTTCGGTATCGAGAACTTCGATGTATTGCATGATAACGAATTCGATATTGAATTGTTCACATTGAAATCAGCAGTGCGTTTTAAAATCTTCATACATAAGCCACCGCCGACAGTAATCATAGCTATTGTTCGTTCTTCTTGTCCCATTCGTCCATACTACGTTTATAAATTAAGTTTATTTATATTTATATATATCAAGAACACACACATGTAAATTTACATCAATTTTGTTTTAATAAAATACATCTTTATGTAAAAAGTACCTTAAGAGCGGATACAGGTTCCATAATCTTCACTGTATCCACGTGATGTTTTCCGTCATAAATGCGCACTCCATAGCCTGCTGTGCTTACAGCTAATAAAGACAGTCCGCTTTGCGGTACTGGTAAACTCACTAAATCTAATATTATGCCAGGAATATTGATGTACCATAATTTTATCCCCTGTGTGCGAAATTTATATATTCGAAAAAGAGTAACACACACATATTGTCAATTGAGTACACAAATTTGTACTCGATTGACAATGTTGAAAAGATATATATTCAAACATACCCTTTTTGAAAATCCTACTAAAGTACCATCCATAACAGCTACTGCCGCACCTTCAGAAGTAAGAACGGAAATAGCTACTGCTGGCGCTGGCAATGTTTCCCAAAGTTTCACAGGACTTCCCCTCCTAATCGCTCCTATTTTTCCATCTCTTCCAATGACCATTATGCGACCATCGCCAGTCCATAAACCACAACTGGCAAATGCCACTGGTGGCCACTCCAATTGATGTTTATCCATAATTGAAAATGCTCTGTGTGGCAATTAAATGATATCCATAACAGAGATAAACAATATTCATATGAATATGATTCAATACAAACGCGCGCATTTCGTTTTAATTATGCAAGAAAAATACCTGGGATCTAAGATGAGAATTTCGCCAGCCTCGGTTCCTAATATTAAACAACTACTGGCAGGGTCGTTCCACGAATCCCTCCGGATGATTGCAATTGCTGTTAGGGCATTGGCTTTGACAAGCGGAATTCTTCTATACTGCTCCGCGAAGCTCAATCGTAAATTACTGTCCATAGACAGAAATTTTAATGTGCGAGGTGAAAGAAATGATGCTCCAAGTTCTTTTAGCAATAGCTCCAAATCGTCCGCCAGCGTAAGCACATTCAATTCCTCGTCCAATCCACATTTATGCCAAATCTACATCAAATTATTAATTTACTCTTCGCGACAATATATAAAATTTTTACCTATAAACTAAAAAATGGTTCTATATCATTACTAATGTATGTACCTCTCGTTCTTTTGGATGAGCATCAATGTGTGGCAGACAATACTTAAAAAAGGGTCTCATGTTTTTAAAAATATATACACTGGCCCCAGCTCCTACAGCCATTACAGATGAGCGAATTTCTCCGTTTTCTGTATAAAAACCAACCACACCACAAGGTGGATCTATCATGTTATGTTCGGTTACTTGATCACCTCCTTTATACACTCGTATCTAGAAAACAAACAAAATATATTAGAAGTTATAAAAGAATATAAGTTATAAGAGAAAAACTCTTTCTCAAGAGGAAAGAGACAGAATTTCAAAGTTTGCTAATTTAACATTATTTAATTACATTTTGTCCTCAAGATTTATAAGATTATCTTGAATATAAAATAATTTATATACCATAATTTGCAGAAAAATATGGCTACTTTCTCACTCACTTATTTTCTTTGCAGTATTTAAATATATAAATTAATGATATACATATATATATAAATTTTCTATATAAACTTTGTTATATTTATAAGTGCATGTACATGTACCTTTGTCAAGTCATTTCCTATTGGTCCTAGATCAGCACAAATAAGCCTAGCATCTCCATCACCACTTACATCCAACATATCAAGCCCACCTGGCAAAGCAAATAAACCAGCACTTGGTTCCCAAAGTGCTTCCAACCATCGACTCGTACATAACAGAGATAAACAATATTCATATGAATATGATTCAATACAAACGCGCGCATTTCGTTTTAATTATGCAAGAAAAATACCTGGGATCTAAGATGAGAATTTCGCCAGCCTCGGTTCCTAATATTAAACAACTACTGGCAGGGTCGTTCCACGAATCCCTCCGGATGATTGCAATTGCTGTTAGGGCATTGGCTTTGACAAGCGGAATTCTTCTATACTGCTCCGCGAAGCTCAATCGTAAATTACTGTCCATAGACAGAAATTTTAATGTGCGAGGTGAAAGAAATGATGCTCCAAGTTCTTTTAGCAATAGCTCCAAATCGTCCGCCAGCGTAAGCACATTCAATTCCTCGTCCAATCCACATTTATGCCAAATCTACATCAAATTATTAATTTACTCTTCGCGACAATATATAAAATTTTGACCTATAAACTAAAAAATGGTTCTATATCATTACTAATGTATGTACCTCTCGTTCTTTTGGATGAGCATCAATGTGTGGCAGACAATACTTAAAAAAGGGTCTCATGTTTTTAAAAATATATACACTGGCCCCAGCTCCTACAGCCATTACAGATGAGCGAATTTCTCCGTTTTCTGTATAAAAACCAACCACACCACAAGGTGGATCTATCATGTTATGTTCGGTTACTTGATCACCTCCTTTATACACTCGTATCTAGAAAACAAACAAAATATATTAGAAGTTATAAAAGAATATAAGTTATAAGAGAAAAACTCTTTCTCAAGAGGAAAGAGACAGAATTTCAAAGTTTGCTAATTTAACATTATTTAATTACATTTTGTCCTCAAGATTTATAAGATTATCTTGAATATAAAATAATTTATATACCATAATTTGCAGAAAAATATGGCTACTTTCTCACTCACTTATTTTCTTTGCAGTATTTAAATATATAAATTAATGATATACATATATATATAAACTTTCTATATAAACTGTTATATTTATAAGTGCATGTACATGTACCTTTGTCAAGTCATTTCCTATTGGTCCTAGATCAGCACAAATAAGCCTAGCATCTCCATCACCACTTACATCCAACATATCAAGCCCACCTGGCAAAGCAAATAAACCAGCACTTGGTTCCCAAAGTGCTTCCAACCATCGACTCGTACCGAGTCCTCCAAGAGATTTGTGGTCTGCTCTAAAAAGATATATATATATATATATATATATATTAAAAATAAAAATAAAATGCAATAAGCAAAGATAATATGGAATTGAGATTCTTTTTAATCTTAAATTCTTCTTTTAATTCTTCTTAATAACATGCAATTATATACGGAATAAGTTAAATTTTAATGTTAGATTTATTACTTTATATTACTTTAAATCTTTAAAACAATAAATTTTAATATATTGTTATGTGTGTGTGGCACTTCTTTATAAGATGAGAATCGACAGGAATATATTCGAATAAAATAAAAAAAACATTCTTTACCTTAAACCGTGCATGAGAGACTGCAAGTTGTTATGAGTATCTTTCAGTACAAAAAAGAATTGTGAACTTATTTAATGCTTATTTATCAAACTACATATCTCAGCTTTTTCGTTTATGTGATATAATATCTGTAATATTATATCAATATATATAAAACATATCTAGAATTGATTAAAATAGACCTTTCATCTTTACATGTTTTCACACATGCTTTGCCCTAATTCTTAAATAATTGGCAATTTCATAATTTATTAAATTGACATTTTATCACGTCCCCTGGCCAAAAGCAGACAAAAGCAGATGTACATATATAAGATGTGTATGTGATACAAATATTGGAAATTATAATCACAGAATGCCACATGTTTTGTATATCTGTTTCCATAGCAATCTATATACCCAGTACCCGGCACAATTTCGTATTTATATATACTGTTTCTCTAAAGTTGCGTTCAAAAATCAACTCATCAAAGTGTCTAAAATAAGAAATTTTTACTCTTTTTGATTGGTCAATTAAACATAATTCTGAATAGATTTTTGAACGCACGTATGAGCGCAAAAAAAGATCGGGAAATTAAACATATACATAGATAAATTAAACGTTCATATCAAGGACGAAAGTTGTTTCAACAAGGATACTATATATATTATATGATTTTATAGAGTTATAATAATCATTGCCTCAATACACACACACATATATTATTCAATCATTTGATCATTTGATAAGCATAATACAGAGAATCAAATATTATTACATCTAATTTCAAATTCCATTACACACACAACATATGTATTTACACTTCTTTTAATGCATTCTGTTACTTAAATGACTTAAAATATAACATCATTATATGGCATCAATATGGCATTTATATAACATCACACATATACAATTTTATACTCTAATAATATATCATTTTATACAGTTTAGAAACATATTCGCAAAATATATAATTGTGCCTAACTTATATTCATAAGATTTCCAAGATAAAAATAGTTTCTCCTATACTGCATGTATGAAAAAAGCTATATCGAATTTTTTATAATATAATAAAACAATGTCACCACAAAAAAGTATAAAATATATGTACATACAAATGTACTTTTATTATTATTCTAATATAAATTAATATATGCGACAAATAATTGGCAAATATCTAAAATAGAAAGTAATATTTTTACATTTACATTTGCATTGTTATCATATAATACTGACAATGTTCATAAATATATTTGATCAATGACCATCATATCGATTATTATAGAGATTCAAAATCCATACAATATTATTTGTGTGACACACATTAGATTTATATCTATATACATTATATAATATGACATTCTTACAAATTACAACTAAAACTTATAGAGTATAAAAGAGATGTTAATATACTTATTAGTTTAAGTTAAAATTTAATTTCATAGTCAATAAATAATGTGTATGTACGTACATATATTTATATTACTAATATATAGGAAGCTTTATATTATAAAATTGTATATAGATATATATGTATGTGTATGTATGTGTGTGTTGATATACATGCATCTATGTGCATTGTGTATGTATATATATATATATGTAGATGAATGATAGACCATATGTGTCTGATTAATGACCTTAAAGATATTTGAACACAGCCAACAGTCACATTAATTATATGATATCATACCTACATACAAGATAACATATGCAAATAGTTGTTTTACACACAATCTGAAAAAGTACACGATTTGTTAAGATGAAAAATTCATCTTAACAAAGATATTCCTAGAGAAAATGGCATAATTTAGATTTAAATAATAATAATTATATTTCAACGAAGTAATGTCGATAACGGAGACGGTGGTGATGGAGGTCTTGGTGCAAGAGTTTCCAATTCACTGCAATGGAATTGACATACAGAGCTGGATGTACTTAGAGTCGATTCCGACAGCATACCACGTCCTTTATAAGCTTTTCTCGCTCGATTGTTATCCTTGTCAACTTCAACCACGCTATCATCATCATATTTATGAAAACAGATCAATAACATTTTTAATCTGTAATTTAAGAGATTATCATTAATTATTATAATTTATATACCGTAGCATGTGTTATATCACATTGCTAGAATCCTCAAATGCACTTATGTAGATAAAAGATTAATTAAATATGTATAACAAATTTATCACCTGGAATATTCAAACTGAGCGAAACGTGAAGATGGTCCTATAACCGCTAACATCGAACACAGAAATAATGTGGCGTATATCCAACTAATGCCCATCACGAGTAATAAAAATACACCAATTTGTATGTATGCCAATACATGAGAAGGTAACATTAAAGCGCCCGCAGCTCCGCTCGTAATCGCCGCCATAAGAGTTGGACCGCCCATCTGTTGCAGCGCTGCTTTTACCTTGTCTATTTTTCTCTCAGAAATACACGCTTTATAACTCACAGCATAATGTAGACTGAAATCTACAGCGAGACCTATAATAAAGTCCACCTGCATGTATTCAATCAACTTCAAGAACATCTTACATCATAAATGACTCAATCAAACTTCCTTTATCAATCTTTACCTATTGCTGTAGTTATTGCAACACTCTCCAAGACATTAAGTTTCCAACCAAGAAGGATGAGGATAGCGACTGTTACTATTATCGCAGCACCAATAGTAACAATGGCATATAGGCTGATAAGGGGGTTTAAAGTAACCAGCACTAATACAATGAGAGCTAAAGTTAATGACACTCCCATTGCCCATATAGTACCTTCGTATAAAGTTCGTTGCAGCTCGTAAAATTCAAATCCGCTAACAAACCATCCACCTCGCATCCCTCTAGGCGCACTTCGTAATTGATCTTGCATCCAACTCTCAACCTAATTCAAATTTAAAGATTGAAATTTATTATCTATAGTCCATATGTAAATAATTATCGTCGATAAATAGTATCACTTGCCTGATGAAAAAATTTATCCATGTTTGCAAATGACAGACTATACGCGTAAGTACTATCATATTCAACAACAAGCGCTTTAATTTTAGGCGTTAGTTTAAACGAGAGTGTACCATTCAGCGCTTCCGGGGATAATGGTTCTTTCACAAATTTTAGACCTGCAGAAATCGCACCATCCCGAATCCACAAATGAGGCGTGCGATGTATCTGCGCGCTAGCTTCAGCTGCGCATTGTTGCAAAACATTGGGTTTGTACGGGAATTTGCTGCTTTCGCAGCACGGTAAGTACTCAATATCCGAGTCAACAGGATCTTTACAACGTCTTTGCATCCACAAATATAACGATTCAATAAAACAATTCGTCAACAGAGGTCCCATAGTATTACGATAAAACGGTTGATTCCGTAAATTTTTGCAAAATCGTTGGAGCCATAATTGCGACCTTGGATTAGAAATATCAAAGGTTGTATCATAGTCTGGTGTTCCTCTTTTGTTAGGATCAAGGTAATCGCCATTGTCGATCGGTTTTATGCCCCACACAAATCTTAATGGTAAAACTTCAGCGTCACTACCAATCTGTATTAATCAAATATAGGCACATATATATATCATATATATACATATTTTACATATAGAAACATAAACTGTAAATAAATATAAACATATAGATACCATTTCGTATCGTTCAAACCAAAATCTCCGCGAATATATTAAATCGTATCGTTCAAATTGATGTGTTGAATGGAAAAGTTGAAAATCAATATAATCCGGTAGTTGCAGACCCGGATGATGGAAAACGATAATGCAACATGCTATCGCCATAGTTCCCAAAGTTAGTAACCACAACCATCGCAGACGAATCACTATTCCGGTAAGAAAGGCGGTAAATCCTACTGTTACTTTGTCTCCCAAGGATCGTAGGGGACGAATAATCTTCCTAGTAATAAAATTGATAGGCGATAAAGTATTTAATTTATAATGCTCTGACACAACCACACATGCTGGTAACCACGTGATCATCAAGAAGAAATTAGCAATAACCGTCATGCCTGAAAATAAACTATATACAAAATTATTAGAGTGTATACACAAGAGATATAAACAAAGTTATATATATATATATATATATATATATATATTTAAGAATGTAGCATAGAATGTTTCCTCTCAAATTAGCTGCATTTTTAATCTTATACATATTGATTTATCATAAAAAA